GGCAGATTGTTCCTTACCGAATACTGGCAGAGATTTCTGTAACAGAAGGTGATTTTTTTCCTGTCTGTTCCACCAGGTTTTCTGTACCTGTCCTTCAGAGAAGCTTTCTTTCGGCCCTTAGCATTTTGGCTTTTTTACCTAATTTGGGGCACCTTTATCGCCGCTCCCTGTCCGCTGTTCTTGGATGCCGACAGTGCGCACTGGGGCCCAAAGTCGGGATCTGAATTTCCAGTTACCTGACTCATACTCCTGTAGATCGTGTGTAACTTCTACAGATGTATCCTATTGAACTTAAAAGGTAAGGAAATTTCCCTGCGTCCCCTTTCCCTCCAGCACACGTATGCGGGGAAAAAAAAGTGTCGGTGCTGGGCGGAGTAAATCCAATCGCTTTGCTCCAGATCTATTCAACGGAAATCGCTTGACGTTTTGGGACTCGCAGTTTTGAAGTAAGTTGTTACTATTTAATTTAATTATTTAAAAAAAAAAAAAGGCATAGGAAGCATTGAGTGCTTCCAGCTCCCAGCTGTACCCAGCTTAACCCTGGATAAAAATGTAACTCCTTCTGTCCTTAAGCCGCAGTATTGCAAACAGAAAATATCTATGGTTTTAGTAGCTGTGATGCAGAGCTGAAGTGATCTTTACTTATTGTTTTATCTAATAGCGTAACCCTTGCAATATTATCTTTGTGCTCCTATGGGTTTGGCACGCTTCACCCCCGCTTCGCTGACGTGCTTAATCAACCTCGATAAATGCCTTACTGCTGCTTCTTCCTGCCATAAATATTTTAAAACTCAAAGCTGGTGGTTCGGCTTTTTACTCACTGCGGCCCGGTTCCCTGAAATAAACCTCCCCCGAAAGTGGAGTAAAAGATTTTCCTCACGACTGCTTGCAATACATTCCCCGTGCTTACTCGATTGGTTCTTTGCATTTGTAGTTGGTTTTCGTGACAGTTGAACTATGTTGAATGATGCAATCGGAGTAAAAGCCCACACCACAGCTCTAATTTAACTCCATCAAACTTTATTTTGGGAAGCACACAGAGCTTTTGAAATCTTTACGTAGTAGGCTTTAGGAAGGGCAAGGCTGCTGCGGTTACTCGTGAAATCCATCTGCTGTAACGCTCTGAAGTTCTCCGAGGGACCGGCGCTCTCTTCTCAGCGGAAAAGCTGCCGAAATTCCAGTGCCTTTGTCTTAGGATGACGGTGCGTGAAAGACCCAAGGACAATTGCTCTTGCTCATTTTCAAACTTTCATATATATTAGTATCATTTTAATAGTATTAGATTGGTATCTAATTCATTTTAATGCGTCTCATTCATCCCTTATGTGCACTTTGGGGCCTGGGTGCTATGCAAGATGAGGTTGGTCTGCTCCTGGAGTCACAAACACTTGAATTTCATTGTACAATTTCATTGCATACCAAAGATTGCACAGCTGTTCTACTGATTTTCATAAAAAACGTGAAAATGAGCCGTGTGTGGAAGAACTGGACGTAAAAGGAGTTGGTAAACTTGAATAAAACACGACTGTTCAAACACAGGTCATGACTTATCATATTATCTAGGGTGTATGGAAGCAAAGTCCATATGAAGAGCTTATAACCTATTTAAACAGAAATTACCTTCAGCATTCTGGTGACTTTCTCTAATGAAAATATTTTTCCTACTTTAGAAATGAAGCTCAAAAAATCCAAACAAAATACAGGTAGCAGGGGAAAAAACCAAACCAAACCAAAAACAACAACAAAACAAACAAACAAACAAAAAAACCCCAACCAACCAAGCAAACGAAAAAACTCAAATCAAAAGCAGTATGTAACCCATGTTGAAACACGTGTAACTTGTGACTTAACTAGAAAGACTGCCTGGATTCCCTGTTTCCGCTCAGACAACGAGTCAGTTCTACCACAGGCAGCCCCTTCCAACGTCAGTATTTTGTGCTTGCAGTTGAGGCAGACGGATCTTCTCAACCGCTGACGTGAACTGCAGGTAGCAATCTATCGTCTCTGAATATTTTTTCTCACAAAGAAATCGTTCCGCCAAAGACAAACAAAAAACTCCCTTTGGAATACCCAAGTCTGAGCACCCTGATGCTCCATCAGCAGGACGTGTGAGCTCCTGTCTTTACCTCTAAGCTGATTCTCGGTTTACAAGGTGGATAACAAATCGGTACCTCCCATTTTTAGGAGGAGGTCTATACGTAAACCTCGTCTGTTGGTTTTCTTTTGCTTCGCTCTCGGAATATCCCTACGATGTTGTTGTTCTAGCAGTGACGTGGATATTAAATCTTTGTCAAAATTATGGGGATGCTTGTAGTATCTGAAAGATTGACTTGCTAAAAGATGCAAACAAATTTATTCTCTTCTTCTATAAAAAGAGGAGGAAGCGGCGTGAACGTGCGCCCTGGGCTGACGCTTCTGGAGTTGTAGTAAGTTTCAGCTTAGATGAAAGTAGTGTGGAAGTGAAGAAACTGAAGGAAGAGACAGCGAGTGATATGCATTCGGTGCTCTGCAACGACCAAACCGCCTGTACGCTATTAACAGCAACTTAGTTTGTGTGCGGTGATTTTACAACTGCAAGGAATTCATCATCTTTTACAAGCGTGTGACGCTGGTCACTTCCCGGTACTAATTTCCACATAAACAGAAAAACAACGTTTCTCTTGTTTACGTGATGAGGAAATAGTAAAACCGACATTTAAAACACAACAAAAAGCAGAAAGGAAACCCACATTGCTATGTGCTGAAGTAAAAGAAAAGCCTCGGTGCCGAAGAAGACAGGAATGTACGGGCAGCAAGATTTCCCAAAACATCCCAATTCAGAGATTCCTGGACAAGATCCCTGTTCTCTGATATGCATGATGTCAGATTAAATGAACAAAATGACCCCCATCTGGAATTAAAAACCCATCAATAGCTCTAATTTAATGATTCCTTATAGCTTTGTAAACATATACCGCAGGCCAACGGCAAGGATTTTGCCTTCCCGAATCCTGGCACGTCCTATTACAGACATACAAGGAACAGGAGACTTTTTTTCTGCACTCCTTAATCTTGTATTGTCTGCGCGGGCAGGAGGGTGTAAGAGCAAAGTTCTTTCTGACTTTCCTCTAGCAGTTACTATGAAATATTTGAGAGGATACGTGCCAAGTACAGCAACGTGGAAAGAACGCTTAATAAGCTTAATTTAGAAAACATATCTGTTCCGTAAATACATGAGATAAATGAGAAGTGTTAGACAGTATGAGTCGGCATTCTCGGAAGAGATCTCGTTTGGAACGTGGTTTCTTTTTTATGTATTTGGCAAACTAACGACTCGTTTGTTTGCTTGTTTGTTTTAATGTCAGATATATTAGGCAACAGCCATGAGCACGCAGCATTGATGTCTAGACTTCCGCAGCTTCTAATTCACTTTTACTATGTAATAATATCTACAAGTGAATTTAATCACAGTTCCAAAAATTGAAAACAAAGCAGGATGACCCAATGATGAGCAATGGAGGAACGGCAGAGCACCTGTGACGGGCTCTGCTGCTGCTCCAAGCCTTCCAACGCAACCGGCAGCTGCTCCGATCCCTGCCACGGGCTCTGCCATTGCTTCAGTCCTTGGAAGGGACCTGTGGGTACTGTGACCCTTCTAAAGGGCCCCACAGCTGCCGTGACCGTGAGAAGCCTGAAAAGATTACAGCTGTTGGCCAGCCGAGCACCACGCGCAATGGTGGAAGCGACCACCGGATGGATGGAAACAGGCCCCACGCACATTGCTACCGCCCAAAGTACTATCCTGGGCCCTGAAAAGCGAGCCTCCTGGTGACGCGGCACCCCAGGAAGAACTGAGCCAGACAACAGAACTCATTTCCAAAATAATCACCTGGGCAAAAGAACACAACGCTGAGTTGGTGTATCACATCCCTACCACACGTAGCATCTGGAAAAATCAGATGATATGCAGGCCTATCAAAGACTGCCGTAGCAGCCGTGCGTACGTTCCAGCCAAACATTGGGACGCATATTTATCAGAAGCCACCTGGTTGGTCAACACTTGGGGATCTCCAGAGTGGCTGATCCTGTCCGATAAAACATGCTGTGTACCACAGAAGAGGGATAAAGACCCAGTGGGGCACGGAAAGAACATGCTGAGCAAGACAATCTCGATTATTCCTGCCTCAAAGACAAGCCTATCTGTGGGATTACTTCTTCCAAAGGACATGTGGGAACGGGGTGGGTAAAGCTGGATGGTGTCTGTTGTGTACCTCGAAGGGATTTGACGCTGTGCAAGAATAAACAGTTGCTACACGATACCGTGTGCCATCATCGCTACGCTTGTTACAGGCCTCGATAACACCATGACAATAAGAACCATCCCAACTAAAGAGGAACTAATTTTGATGAAATCGGAACCAGCTTCCCAAGCAATAATCCCACAATGGAGCCTCTCCGCTTGTACTGAAGGAGTGCTATGACAAATGCAGCCCAAAATCATGAACTAAAGGAACTTCATGCACAGACCATTGACAAGGACGGACCAAAGGATGTGGAAATCACATCTGTGTAAACATCAAGAAGTAAGACAGGAAGAAGTAAATAGTTAGGACACGTAAGAATAACACAAGATAACAGCATAAAATCAATACCTTAGTTTCAGCAGAGACAGAATACCCTTACCTCAAAGTGGATGGTACGACGCTATGCTTTGGACAACTGCAAAGCTAATAAAACTCCAATGTTTTCGGTTGTTACAGAGTAATTCCGAACAGAGTGAACAATGTCTGTTTTCATGGATTCTCCTACCGTACAGGAACAGGGCTTGGAGCAGCACAGGGAGCTGGGACAGAAATAGCAGAGCTAACCTAAATCAGGCCAAGGCAATATTTCGTACCCTATGCCATGATACATAAGGAAAGTGAGGAAAGAAATCACAAGACCCCAAATAGAAAGGCCACATAAATCCTCAACACAGAAAAAAGGATATTACTTCTGGGTGAAAGAAAGAAATAAAAGCATAGATGGCAATTCAAAAAGAAGCAGATTTATGCTAACTGAGGCATAACTTAACATTAAAACACAGAGAAGACCAGAGAACAAAAGCAGATATCACGACAACAAAAACACGCATATGATTTTTATTTTCAAAGGCCCATGGAGACAAAAAAGAGCTAACAAGAGAAAAACACAAATGTCAGATTCAGAAGACAAGAAAAATGAAAAAGGCTGACAATCAACAGAAACCTCGTGCTCGATATTGCCTCCCGCGTCCCCACGCCGCTTCTTCTTCTTTCTTCTGCAGCAGCTCCTGAAACATCAGCGGGGACACCGTTACAGCTGCACAGCAGCAAGCCCCCCACCGGAAGGAAAAAAGAAACCAACCCAACATCGCAGAGGAACTCGGCACGCCACCACCCAGCCAAGGAAGGCCTTGCATCCCCCCTCCCCAGTTCATCCCAGCAAAAACTACTTTGAGCAGCTTTCCTCACCTCACTGGCGCACGGCGCGCTTCCAGCCGGTGCTGCGGGGGATCACAGAGGCGGGCAGACTGGGCAAATGGAGCTGGGCACACACGCATGGCAGCGGCCAAAGAGTCAGCTTCCCTGATTACAGGGGACCCCCGCCACTGCCTCCATTGCAAAGGGCCTGGGACTGCGGGGCACTGGCGCTCCCCGGCTTACAGGGCAGCCCCCATCCCTACCGGCCGCGGGAGGCTCCTTCTCTCCCAGTCCGGGGGCACCTGGACCCGCACCCCGCTAACGGGGCGGTCACCCCACACAGGCTGCCAGCTGAGCACAAGCGCTCGCGCACCCAGACCCTGATTACAGGCGGGTGGATGACACCCCTGGAGCCACAGAGCTCGGTTTCCCCCCCAGCGGCGGGAGAGACTCTCAGCTGCCAGGCAGCGGGGCGGCACGGCCAAATGCCGCGGTGGGGACCCCAGCCCTGACTGCGGGGAGGGCGCAAGCCCAAGCCCACCTCTCGCAGCCCCGTGCCTCTGAAAGGCCGGGGCCACATGCCCGCCTGAGTACAGGGGGTCTCTCTGAACGCAGCTCACCTAGCACTCACGGGGGGCACGCGCAGCCCTGCCTACAGGACGGTACCCCCACACCCCACCCTCCCCAGGAAGCCCCGCGGAGCACGAGGCTCCCGCCAACGCCCGAGTTACAGGCTGGCCCGCCCGGCAGCAGCACAACATCACCAACCTCTTGCCTTTGGGAACCCCGGGAGCAACCTCGACCCACCGAGTGGGGAGGTCACCGCACACACAAGCAGCACCTCAACCTGCACCCTCTGACGGGACAGGGAGGGGTCATTCCCACCAGCTGGATGGCTAGAGCAGCCGGCTGCAATGCCGCAGCCTCCCCGCACCTGATTACAGGGCGGGCGGGAGGGCTGCTCGGGGGACAGAGGGCTCCGCAGCTTGGGACACACGCCCCGACTACGGGGCTGTCACACCGCCAGCGGAGCAGGCGCCCACTAAAGGACTGGCCCAAGCCCTGGCTACAGGGCGGCCTCGGCCACTGAACTACCATGTGGCTCTGATCTAGGCTAAATAATTTAGAGGAAGACAGGACACTCGCTGCGCTCGCGGGACTGAGAGGGAACACCCCTTTTGCGGCGTGCACCACAGTCCTCCATTCCCCCCAGGGAAGTCGAAGCTAAGCTGCAGCCATCTTTGTGGGGGCCTAAAGGGAAAGTTCAGTCGCTCCGTCACTCCACAAACACAAACAAGGAAAGGAAGGGCAACGCGCACACACAGGCGCGACTTTCCAGAAGGGAAGGACAACGCAGCGCAGCCAAACCCTGGGAATAAACCCACAACCGCGGGCAACAGACAAGAGCCTGTGACCTGTCCCTAGCCTGCACGGAGGCCGCAGACCTCAACGTGCCAAGGGGCTTCCCAGCTAAAGCCAAAGGCCAGATGCCGTGACGCGCACCCCGAGTACGGGGCCGTCGCACTGACAGGCCACCACCAGGCAACGATGCCGAGGGGCCGGAGGAGGAAGAGGGGCGGGGAAACGGCACTACCCTGCTTACAGGGCGGCCTCGGGGTCCGGCGAGCTCCGTTTCCCACTCAGGTGCGGAGAGGTGGCTCTCGCCCTGCGTTACAGGGGGCCACGCTCCCCAGGCAGCCAAAGGAGCAGCAAGGCAAAAGCCCAACTACAGCAAAAGCAAAGACCCGAGCCCTGCTTACAGGGAGGTCGCCCAGCACAAAGCCGGCCAAGGCGCCGGCAACTCTCAAACTCAAATGGGACTAAATGGGACTGCGGCCCCGCTAACGGGACGGATGCTTTGCCCAGAGTGCCTCTCTCCTTCCCCCCCGCGTCTGCACGCTTCCGCATCCTCTTCTCGCTTGCATCCTTGCTTGCTTGCTTGCGCGCTCCTGCCTCCCGCGTCCCCACGCCGCTTCTTCTTCTTTCTTCTGCAGCAGCTCCTGAAACATCAGCGGGGACACCGTTACAGCTGCACAGCAGCAAGCCCCCCACCGGAAGGAAAAAAGAAACCAACCCAACATCGCAGAGGAACTCGGCACGCCACCACCCAGCCAAGGAAGGCCTTGCATCCCCCCTCCCCAGTTCATCCCAGCAAAAACTACTTTGAGCAGCTTTCCTCACCTCACTGGCGCACGGCGCGCTTCCAGCCGGTGCTGCGGGGGATCACAGAGGCGGGCAGACTGGGCAAATGGAGCTGGGCACACACGCATGGCAGCGGCCAAAGAGTCAGCTTCCCTGATTACAGGGGACCCCCGCCACTGCCTCCATTGCAAAGGGCCTGGGACTGCGGGGCACTGGCGCTCCCCGGCTTACAGGGCAGCCCCCATCCCTACCGGCCGCGGGAGGCTCCTTCTCTCCCAGTCCGGGGGCACCTGGACCCGCACCCCGCTAACGGGGCGGTCACCCCACACAGGCTGCCAGCTGAGCACAAGCGCTCGCGCACCCAGACCCTGATTACAGGCGGGTGGATGACACCCCTGGAGCCACAGAGCTCGGTTTCCCCCCCAGCGGCGGGAGAGACTCTCAGCTGCCAGGCAGCGGGGCGGCACGGCCAAATGCCGCGGTGGGGACCCCAGCCCTGACTGCGGGGAGGGCGCAAGCCCAAGCCCACCTCTCGCAGCCCCGTGCCTCTGAAAGGCCGGGGCCACATGCCCGCCTGAGTACAGGGGGTCTCTCTGAACGCAGCTCACCTAGCACTCACGGGGGGCACGCGCAGCCCTGCCTACAGGACGGTACCCCCACACCCCACCCTCCCCAGGAAGCCCCGCGGAGCACGAGGCTCCCGCCAACGCCCGAGTTACAGGCTGGCCCGCCCGGCAGCAGCACAACATCACCAACCTCTTGCCTTTGGGAACCCCGGGAGCAACCTCGACCCACCGAGTGGGGAGGTCACCGCACACACAAGCAGCACCTCAACCTGCACCCTCTGACGGGACAGGGAGGGGTCATTCCCACCAGCTGGATGGCTAGAGCAGCCGGCTGCAATGCCGCAGCCTCCCCGCACCTGATTACAGGGCGGGCGGGAGGGCTGCTCGGGGGACAGAGGGCTCCGCAGCTTGGGACACACGCCCCGACTACGGGGCTGTCACACCGCCAGCGGAGCAGGCGCCCACTAAAGGACTGGCCCAAGCCCTGGCTACAGGGCGGCCTCGGCCACTGAACTACCATGTGGCTCTGATCTAGGCTAAATAATTTAGAGGAAGACAGGACACTCGCTGCGCTCGCGGGACTGAGAGGGAACACCCCTTTTGCGGCGTGCACCACAGTCCTCCATTCCCCCCAGGGAAGTCGAAGCTAAGCTGCAGCCATCTTTGTGGGGGCCTAAAGGGAAAGTTCAGTCGCTCCGTCACTCCACAAACACAAACAAGGAAAGGAAGGGCAACGCGCACACACAGGCGCGACTTTCCAGAAGGGAAGGACAACGCAGCGCAGCCAAACCCTGGGAATAAACCCACAACCGCGGGCAACAGACAAGAGCCTGTGACCTGTCCCTAGCCTGCACGGAGGCCGCAGACCTCAACGTGCCAAGGGGCTTCCCAGCTAAAGCCAAAGGCCAGATGCCGTGACGCGCACCCCGAGTACGGGGCCGTCGCACTGACAGGCCACCACCAGGCAACGATGCCGAGGGGCCGGAGGAGGAAGAGGGGCGGGGAAACGGCACTACCCTGCTTACAGGGCGGCCTCGGGGTCCGGCGAGCTCCGTTTCCCACTCAGGTGCGGAGAGGTGGCTCTCGCCCTGCGTTACAGGGGGCCACGCTCCCCAGGCAGCCAAAGGAGCAGCAAGGCAAAAGCCCAACTACAGCAAAAGCAAAGACCCGAGCCCTGCTTACAGGGAGGTCGCCCAGCACAAAGCCGGCCAAGGCGCCGGCAACTCTCAAACTCAAATGGGACTAAATGGGACTGCGGCCCCGCTAACGGGACGGATGCTTTGCCCAGAGTGCCTCTCTCCTTCCCCCCCGCGTCTGCACGCTTCCGCATCCTCTTCTCGCTTGCATCCTTGCTTGCTTGCTTGCGCGCTCCTGCCTCCCGCGTCCCCACGCCGCTTCTTCTTCTTTCTTCTGCAGCAGCTCCTGAAACATCAGCGGGGACACCGTTACAGCTGCACAGCAGCAAGCCCCCCACCGGAAGGAAAAAAGAAACCAACCCAACATCGCAGAGGAACTCGGCACGCCACCACCCAGCCAAGGAAGGCCTTGCATCCCCCCTCCCCAGTTCATCCCAGCAAAAACTACTTTGAGCAGCTTTCCTCACCTCACTGGCGCACGGCGCGCTTCCAGCCGGTGCTGCGGGGGATCACAGAGGCGGGCAGACTGGGCAAATGGAGCTGGGCACACACGCATGGCAGCGGCCAAAGAGTCAGCTTCCCTGATTACAGGGGACCCCCGCCACTGCCTCCATTGCAAAGGGCCTGGGACTGCGGGGCACTGGCGCTCCCCGGCTTACAGGGCAGCCCCCATCCCTACCGGCCGCGGGAGGCTCCTTCTCTCCCAGTCCGGGGGCACCTGGACCCGCACCCCGCTAACGGGGCGGTCACCCCACACAGGCTGCCAGCTGAGCACAAGCGCTCGCGCACCCAGACCCTGATTACAGGCGGGTGGATGACACCCCTGGAGCCACAGAGCTCGGTTTCCCCCCCAGCGGCGGGAGAGACTCTCAGCTGCCAGGCAGCGGGGCGGCACGGCCAAATGCCGCGGTGGGGACCCCAGCCCTGACTGCGGGGAGGGCGCAAGCCCAAGCCCACCTCTCGCAGCCCCGTGCCTCTGAAAGGCCGGGGCCACATGCCCGCCTGAGTACAGGGGGTCTCTCTGAACGCAGCTCACCTAGCACTCACGGGGGGCACGCGCAGCCCTGCCTACAGGACGGTACCCCCACACCCCACCCTCCCCAGGAAGCCCCGCGGAGCACGAGGCTCCCGCCAACGCCCGAGTTACAGGCTGGCCCGCCCGGCAGCAGCACAACATCACCAACCTCTTGCCTTTGGGAACCCCGGGAGCAACCTCGACCCACCGAGTGGGGAGGTCACCGCACACACAAGCAGCACCTCAACCTGCACCCTCTGACGGGACAGGGAGGGGTCATTCCCACCAGCTGGATGGCTAGAGCAGCCGGCTGCAATGCCGCAGCCTCCCCGCACCTGATTACAGGGCGGGCGGGAGGGCTGCTCGGGGGACAGAGGGCTCCGCAGCTTGGGACACACGCCCCGACTACGGGGCTGTCACACCGCCAGCGGAGCAGGCGCCCACTAAAGGACTGGCCCAAGCCCTGGCTACAGGGCGGCCTCGGCCACTGAACTACCATGTGGCTCTGATCTAGGCTAAATAATTTAGAGGAAGACAGGACACTCGCTGCGCTCGCGGGACTGAGAGGGAACACCCCTTTTGCGGCGTGCACCACAGTCCTCCATTCCCCCCAGGGAAGTCGAAGCTAAGCTGCAGCCATCTTTGTGGGGGCCTAAAGGGAAAGTTCAGTCGCTCCGTCACTCCACAAACACAAACAAGGAAAGGAAGGGCAACGCGCACACACAGGCGCGACTTTCCAGAAGGGAAGGACAACGCAGCGCAGCCAAACCCTGGGAATAAACCCACAACCGCGGGCAACAGACAAGAGCCTGTGACCTGTCCCTAGCCTGCACGGAGGCCGCAGACCTCAACGTGCCAAGGGGCTTCCCAGCTAAAGCCAAAGGCCAGATGCCGTGACGCGCACCCCGAGTACGGGGCCGTCGCACTGACAGGCCACCACCAGGCAACGATGCCGAGGGGCCGGAGGAGGAAGAGGGGCGGGGAAACGGCACTACCCTGCTTACAGGGCGGCCTCGGGGTCCGGCGAGCTCCGTTTCCCACTCAGGTGCGGAGAGGTGGCTCTCGCCCTGCGTTACAGGGGGCCACGCTCCCCAGGCAGCCAAAGGAGCAGCAAGGCAAAAGCCCAACTACAGCAAAAGCAAAGACCCGAGCCCTGCTTACAGGGAGGTCGCCCAGCACAAAGCCGGCCAAGGCGCCGGCAACTCTCAAACTCAAATGGGACTAAATGGGACTGCGGCCCCGCTAACGGGACGGATGCTTTGCCCAGGGTGCCTCTCTCCTTCCCCCCCGCGTCTGCACGCTTCCGCATCCTCTTCTCGCTTGCATCCTTGCTTGCTTGCTTGCGCGCTCCTGCCTCCCGCGTCCCCACGCCGCTTCTTCTTCTTTCTTCTGCAGCAGCTCCTGAAACATCAGCGGGGACACCGTTACAGCTGCACAGCAGCAAGCCCCCCACCGGAAGGAAAAAAGAAACCAACCCAACATCGCAGAGGAACTCGGCACGCCACCACCCAGCCAAGGAAGGCCTTGCATCCCCCCTCCCCAGTTCATCCCAGCAAAAACTACTTTGAGCAGCTTTCCTCACCTCACTGGCGCACGGCGCGCTTCCAGCCGGTGCTGCGGGGGATCACAGAGGCGGGCAGACTGGGCAAATGGAGCTGGGCACACACGCATGGCAGCGGCCAAAGAGTCAGCTTCCCTGATTACAGGGGACCCCCGCCACTGCCTCCATTGCAAAGGGCCTGGGACTGCGGGGCACTGGCGCTCCCCGGCTTACAGGGCAGCCCCCATCCCTACCGGCCGCGGGAGGCTCCTTCTCTCCCAGTCCGGGGGCACCTGGACCCGCACCCCGCTAACGGGGCGGTCACCCCACACAGGCTGCCAGCTGAGCACAAGCGCTCGCGCACCCAGACCCTGATTACAGGCGGGTGGATGACACCCCTGGAGCCACAGAGCTCGGTTTCCCCCCCAGCGGCGGGAGAGACTCTCAGCTGCCAGGCAGCGGGGCGGCACGGCCAAATGCCGCGGTGGGGACCCCAGCCCTGACTGCGGGGAGGGCGCAAGCCCAAGCCCACCTCTCGCAGCCCCGTGCCTCTGAAAGGCCGGGGCCACATGCCCGCCTGAGTACAGGGGGTCTCTCTGAACGCAGCTCACCTAGCACTCACGGGGGGCACGCGCAGCCCTGCCTACAGGACGGTACCCCCACACCCCACCCTCCCCAGGAAGCCCCGCGGAGCACGAGGCTCCCGCCAACGCCCGAGTTACAGGCTGGCCCGCCCGGCAGCAGCACAACATCACCAACCTCTTGCCTTTGGGAACCCCGGGAGCAACCTCGACCCACCGAGTGGGGAGGTCACCGCACACACAAGCAGCACCTCAACCTGCACCCTCTGACGGGACAGGGAGGGGTCATTCCCACCAGCTGGATGGCTAGAGCAGCCGGCTGCAATGCCGCAGCCTCCCCGCACCTGATTACAGGGCGGGCGGGAGGGCTGCTCGGGGGACAGAGGGCTCCGCAGCTTGGGACACACGCCCCGACTACGGGGCTGTCACACCGCCAGCGGAGCAGGCGCCCACTAAAGGACTGGCCCAAGCCCTGGCTACAGGGCGGCCTCGGCCACTGAACTACCATGTGGCTCTGATCTAGGCTAAATAATTTAGAGGAAGACAGGACACTCGCTGCGCTCGCGGGACTGAGAGGGAACACCCCTTTTGCGGCGTGCACCACAGTCCTCCATTCCCCCCAGGGAAGTCGAAGCTAAGCTGCAGCCATCTTTGTGGGGGCCTAAAGGGAAAGTTCAGTCGCTCCGTCACTCCACAAACACAAACAAGGAAAGGAAGGGCAACGCGCACACACAGGCGCGACTTTCCAGAAGGGAAGGACAACGCAGCGCAGCCAAACCCTGGGAATAAACCCACAACCGCGGGCAACAGACAAGAGCCTGTGACCTGTCCCTAGCCTGCACGGAGGCCGCAGACCTCAACGTGCCAAGGGGCTTCCCAGCTAAAGCCAAAGGCCAGATGCCGTGACGCGCACCCCGAGTACGGGGCCGTCGCACTGACAGGCCACCACCAGGCAACGATGCCGAGGGGCCGGAGGAGGAAGAGGGGCGGGGAAACGGCACTACCCTGCTTACAGGGCGGCCTCGGGGTCCGGCGAGCTCCGTTTCCCACTCAGGTGCGGAGAGGTGGCTCTCGCCCTGCGTTACAGGGGGCCACGCTCCCCAGGCAGCCAAAGGAGCAGCAAGGCAAAAGCCCAACTACAGCAAAAGCAAAGACCCGAGCCCTGCTTACAGGGAGGTCGCCCAGCACAAAGCCGGCCAAGGCGCCGGCAACTCTCAAACTCAAATGGGACTAAATGGGACTGCGGCCCCGCTAACGGGACGGATGCTTTGCCCAGAGTGCCTCTCTCCTTCCCCCCCGCGTCTGCACGCTTCCGCATCCTCTTCTCGCTTGCATCCTTGCTTGCTTGCTTGCGCGCTCCTGCCTCCCGCGTCCCCACGCCGCTTCTTCTTCTTTCTTCTGCAGCAGCTCCTGAAACATCAGCGGGGACACCGTTACAGCTGCACAGCAGCAAGCCCCCCACCGGAAGGAAAAAAGAAACCAACCCAACATCGCAGAGGAACTCGGCACGCCACCACCCAGCCAAGGAAGGCCTTGCATCCCCCCTCCCCAGTTCATCCCAGCAAAAACTACTTTGAGCAGCTTTCCTCACCTCACTGGCGCACGGCGCGCTTCCAGCCGGTGCTGCGGGGGATCACAGAGGCGGGCAGACTGGGCAAATGGAGCTGGGCACACACGCATGGCAGCGGCCAAAGAGTCAGCTTCCCTGATTACAGGGGACCCCCGCCACTGCCTCCATTGCAAAGGGCCTGGGACTGCGGGGCACTGGCGCTCCCCGGCTTACAGGGCAGCCCCCATCCCTAGCGGCCGCGGGAGGCTCCTTCTCTCCCAGTCCGGGGGCACCTGGACCCGCACCCCGCTAACGGGGCGGTCACCCCACACAGGCTGCCAGCTGAGCACAAGCGCTCGCGCACCCAGACCCTGATTACAGGCGGGTGGATGACACCCCTGGAGCCACAGAGCTCGGTTTCCCCCCCAGCGGCGGGAGAGACTCTCAGCTGCCAGGCAGCGGGGCGGCACGGCCAAATGCCGCGGTGGGGACCCCAGCCCTGACTGCGGGGAGGGCGCAAGCCCAAGCCCACCTCTCGCAGCCCCGTGCCTCTGAAAGGCCGGGGCCACATGCCCGCCTGAGTACAGGGGGTCTCTCTGAACGCAGCTCACCTAGCACTCACGGGGGGCACGCGCAGCCCTGCCTACAGGACGGTACCCCCACACCCCACCCTCCCCAGGAAGCCCCGCGGAGCACGAGGCTCCCGCCAACGCCCGAGTTACAGGCTGGCCCGCCCGGCAGCAGCACAACATCACCAACCTCTTGCCTTTGGGAACCCCGGGAGCAACCTCGACCCACCGAGTGGGGAGGTCACCGCACACACAAGCAGCACCTCAACCTGCACCCTCTGACGGGACAGGGAGGGGTCATTCCCACCAGCTGGATGGCTAGAGCAGCCGGCTGCAATGCCGCAGCCTCCCCGCACCTGATTACAGGGCGGGCGGGAGGGCTGCTCGGGGGACAGAGGGCTCCGCAGCTTGGGACACACGCCCCGACTACGGGGCTGTCACACCGCCAGCGGAGCAGGCGCCCACTAAAGGACTGGCCCAAGCCCTGGCTACAGGGCGGCCTCGGCCACTGAACTACCATGTGGCTCTGATCTAGGCTAAATAATTTAGAGGAAGACAGGACACTCGCTGCGCTCGCGGGACTGAGAGGGAACACCCCTTTTGCGGCGTGCACCACAGTCCTCCATTCCCCCCAGGGAAGTCGAAGCTAAGCTGCAGCCATCTTTGTGGGGGCCTAAAGGGAAAGTTCAGTCGCTCCGTCACTCCACAAACACAAACAAGGAAAGGAAGGGCAACGCGCACACACAGGCGCGACTTTCCAGAAGGGAAGGACAACGCAGCGCAGCCAAACCCTGGGAATAAACCCACAACCGCGGGCAACAGACAAGAGCCTGTGACCTGTCCCTAGCCTGCACGGAGGCCGCAGACCTCAACGTGCCAAGGGGCTTCCCAGCTAAAGCCAAAGGCCAGATGCCGTGACGCGCACCCCGAGTACGGGGCCGTCGCACTGACAGGCCACCACCAGGCAACGATGCCGAGGGGCCGGAGGAGGAAGAGGGGCGGGGAAACGGCACTACCCTGCTTACAGGGCGGCCTCGGGGTCCGGCGAGCTCCGTTTCCCACTCAGGTGCGGAGAGGTGGCTCTCGCCCTGCGTTACAGGGGGCCACGCTCCCCAGGCAGCCAAAGGAGCAGCAAGGCAAAAGCCCAACTACAGCAAAAGCAAAGACCCGAGCCCTGCTTACAGGGAGGTCGCCCAGCACAAAGCCGGCCAAGGCGCCGGCAACTCTCAAACTCAAATGGGACTAAATGGGACTGCGGCCCCGCTAACGGGACGGATGCTTTGCCCAGGGTGCCTCTCTCCTTCCCCCCCGCGTCTGCACGCTTCCGCATCCTCTTCTCGCTTGCATCCTTGCTTGCTTGCTTGCGCGCTCCTGCCTCCCGCGTCCCCACGCCGCTTCTTCTTCTTTCTTCTGCAGCAGCTCCTGAAACATCAGCGGGGACACCGTTACAGCTGCACAGCAGCAAGCCCCCCACCGGAAGGAAAAAAGAAACCAACCCAACATCGCAGAGGAACTCGGCACGCCACCACCCAGCCAAGGAAGGCCTTGCATCCCCCCTCCCCAGTTCATCCCAGCAAAAACTACTTTGAGCAGCTTTCCTCACCTCACTGGCGCACGGCGCGCTTCCAGCCGGTGCTGCGGGGGATCACAGAGGCGGGCAGACTGGGCAAATGGAGCTGGGCACACACGCATGGCAGCGGCCAAAGAGTCAGCTTCCCTGATTACAGGGGACCCCCGCCACTGCCTCCATTGCAAAGGGCCTGGGACTGCGGGGCACTGGCGCTCCCCGGCTTACAGGGCAGCCCCCATCCCTAGCGGCCGCGGGAGGCTCCTTCTCTCCCAGTCCGGGGGCACCTGGACCCGCACCCCGCTAACGGGGCGGTCACCCCACACAGGCTGCCAGCTGAGCACAAGCGCTCGCGCACCCAGACCCTGATTACAGGCGGGTGGATGACACCCCTGGAGCCACAGAGCTCGGTTTCCCCCCCAGCGGCGGGAGAGACTCTCAGCTGCCAGGCAGCGGGGCGGCACGGCCAAATGCCGCGGTGGGGACCCCAGCCCTGACTGCGGGGAGGGCGCAAGCCCAAGCCCACCTCTCGCAGCCCCGTGCCTCTGAAAGGCCGGGGCCACATGCCCGCCTGAGTACAGGGGGTCTCTCTGAACGCAGCTCACCTAGCACTCACGGGGGGCACGCGCAGCCCTGCCTACAGGACGGTACCCCCACACCCCACCCTCCCCAGGAAGCCCCGCGGAGCACGAGGCTCCCGCCAACGCCCGAGTTACAGGCTGGCCCGCCCGGCAGCAGCACAACATCACCAACCTCTTGCCTTTGGGAACCCCGGGAGCAACCTCGACCCACCGAGTGGGGAGGTCACCGCACACACAAGCAGCACCTCAACCTGCACCCTCTGACGGGACAGGGAGGGGTCATTCCCACCAGCTGGATGGCTAGAGCAGCCGGCTGCAATGCCGCAGCCTCCCCGCACCTGATTACAGGGCGGGCGGGAGGGCTGCTCGGGGGACAGAGGGCTCCGCAGCTTGGGACACACGCCCCGACTACGGGGCTGTCACACCGCCAGCGGAGCAGGCGCCCACTAAAGGACTGGCCCAAGCCCTGGCTACAGGGCGGCCTCGGCCACTGAACTACCATGTGGCTCTGATCTAGGCTAAATAATTTAGAGGAAGACAGGACACTCGCTGCGCTCGCGGGACTGAGAGGGAACACCCCTTTTGCGGCGTGCACCACAGTCCTCCATTCCCCCCAGGGAAGTCGAAGCTAAGCTGCAGCCATCTTTGTGGGGGCCTAAAGGGAAAGTTCAGTCGCTCCGTCACTCCACAAACACAAACAAGGAAAGGAAGGGCAACGCGCACACACAGGCGCGACTTTCCAGAAGGGAAGGACAACGCAGCGCAGCCAAACCCTGGGAATAAACCCACAACCGCGGGCAACAGACAAGAGCCTGTGACCTGTCCCTAGCCTGCACGGAGGCCGCAGACCTCAACGTGCCAAGGGGCTTCCCAGCTAAAGCCAAAGGCCAGATGCCGTGACGCGCACCCCGAGTACGGGGCCGTCGCACTGACAGGCCACCACCAGGCAACGATGCCGAGGGGCCGGAGGAGGAAGAGGGGCGGGGAAACGGCACTACCCTGCTTACAGGGCGGCCTCGGGGTCCGGCGAGCTCCGTTTCCCACTCAGGTGCGGAGAGGTGGCTCTCGCCCTGCGTTACAGGGGGCCACGCTCCCCAGGCAGCCAAAGGAGCAGCAAGGCAAAAGCCCAACTACAGCAAAAGCAAAGACCCGAGCCCTGCTTACAGGGAGGTCGCCCAGCACAAAGCCGGCCAAGGCGCCGGCAACTCTCAAACTCAAATGGGACTAAATGGGACTGCGGCCCCGCTAACGGGACGGATGCTTTGCCCAGGGTGCCTCTCTCCTTCCCCCCCGCGTCTGCACGCTTCCGCATCCTCTTCTCGCTTGCATCCTTGCTTGCTTGCTTGCGCGCTCCTGCCTCCCGCGTCCCCACGCCGCTTCTTCTTCTTTCTTCTGCAGCAGCTCCTGAAACATCAGCGGGGACACCGTTACAGCTGCACAGCAGCAAGCCCCCCACCGGAAGGAAAAAAGAAACCAACCCAACATCGCAGAGGAACTCGGCACGCCACCACCCAGCCAAGGAAGGCCTTGCATCCCCCCTCCCCAGTTCATCCCAGCAAAAACTACTTTGAGCAGCTTTCCTCACCTCACTGGCGCACGGCGCGCTTCCAGCCGGTGCTGCGGGGGATCACAGAGGCGGGCAGACTGGGCAAATGGAGCTGGGCACACACGCATGGCAGCGGCCAAAGAGTCAGCTTCCCTGATTACAGGGGACCCCCGCCACTGCCTCCATTGCAAAGGGCCTGGGACTGCGGGGCACTGGCGCTCCCCGGCTTACAGGGCAGCCCCCATCCCTAGCGGCCGCGGGAGGCTCCTTCTCTCCCAGTCCGGGGGCACCTGGACCCGCACCCCGCTAACGGGGCGGTCACCCCACACAGGCTGCCAGCTGAGCACAAGCGCTCGCGCACCCAGACCCTGATTACAGGCGGGTGGATGACACCCCTGGAGCCACAGAGCTCGGTTTCCCCCCCAGCGGCGGGAGAGACTCTCAGCTGCCAGGCAGCGGGGCGGCACGGCCAAATGCCGCGGTGGGGACCCCAGCCCTGACTGCGGGGAGGGCGCAAGCCCAAGCCCACCTCTCGCAGCCCCGTGCCTCTGAAAGGCCGGGGCCACATGCCCGCCTGAGTACAGGGGGTCTCTCTGAACGCAGCTCACCTAGCACTCACGGGGGGCACGCGCAGCCCTGCCTACAGGACGGTACCCCCACACCCCACCCTCCCCAGGAAGCCCCGCGGAGCACGAGGCTCCCGCCAACGCCCGAGTTACAGGCTGGCCCGCCCGGCAGCAGCACAACATCACCAACCTCTTGCCTTTGGGAACCCCGGGAGCAACCTCGACCCACCGAGTGGGGAGGTCACCGCACACACAAGCAGCACCTCAACCTGCACCCTCTGACGGGACAGGGAGGGGTCATTCCCACCAGCTGGATGGCTAGAGCAGCCGGCTGCAATGCCGCAGCCTCCCCGCACCTGATTACAGGGCGGGCGGGAGGGCTGCTCGGGGGACAGAGGGCTCCGCAGCTTGGGACACACGCCCCGACTACGGGGCTGTCACACCGCCAGCGGAGCAGGCGCCCACTAAAGGACTGGCCCAAGCCCTGGCTACAGGGCGGCCTCGGCCACTGAACTACCATGTGGCTCTGATCTAGGCTAAATAATTTAGAGGAAGACAGGACACTCGCTGCGCTCGCGGGACTGAGAGGGAACACCCCTTTTGCGGCGTGCACCACAGTCCTCCATTCCCCCCAGGGAAGTCGAAGCTAAGCTGCAGCCATCTTTGTGGGGGCCTAAAGGGAAAGTTCAGTCGCTCCGTCACTCCACAAACACAAACAAGGAAAGGAAGGGCAACGCGCACACACAGGCGCGACTTTCCAGAAGGGAAGGACAACGCAGCGCAGCCAAACCCTGGGAATAAACCCACAACCGCGGGCAACAGACAAGAGCCTGTGACCTGTCCCTAGCCTGCACGGAGGCCGCAGACCTCAACGTGCCAAGGGGCTTCCCAGCTAAAGCCAAAGGCCAGATGCCGTGACGCGCACCCCGAGTACGGGGCCGTCGCACTGACAGGCCACCACCAGGCAACGATGCCGAGGGGCCGGAGGAGGAAGAGGGGCGGGGAAACGGCACTACCCTGCTTACAGGGCGGCCTCGGGGTCCGGCGAGCTCCGTTTCCCACTCAGGTGCGGAGAGGTGGCTCTCGCCCTGCGTTACAGGGGGCCACGCTCCCCAGGCAGCCAAAGGAGCAGCAAGGCAAAAGCCCAACTACAGCAAAAGCAAAGACCCGAGCCCTGCTTACAGGGAGGTCGCCCAGCACAAAGCCGGCCAAGGCGCCGGCAACTCTCAAACTCAAATGGGACTAAATGGGACTGCGGCCCCGCTAACGGGACGGATGCTTTGCCCAGGGTGCCTCTCTCCTTCCCCCCCGCGTCTGCACGCTTCCGCATCCTCTTCTCGCTTGCATCCTTGCTTGCTTGCTTGCGCGCTCCTGCCTCCCGCGTCCCCACGCCGCTTCTTCTTCTTTCTTCTGCAGCAGCTCCTGAAACATCAGCGGGGACACCGTTACAGCTGCACAGCAGCAAGCCCCCCACCGGAAGGAAAAAAGAAACCAACCCAACATCGCAGAGGAACTCGGCACGCCACCACCCAGCCAAGGAAGGCCTTGCATCCCCCCTCCCCAGTTCATCCCAGCAAAAACTACTTTGAGCAGCTTTCCTCACCTCACTGGCGCACGGCGCGCTTCCAGCCGGTGCTGCGGGGGATCACAGAGGCGGGCAGACTGGGCAAATGGAGCTGGGCACACACGCATGGCAGCGGCCAAAGAGTCAGCTTCCCTGATTACAGGGGACCCCCGCCACTGCCTCCATTGCAAAGGGCCTGGGACTGCGGGGCACTGGCGCTCCCCGGCTTACAGGGCAGCCCCCATCCCTAGCGGCCGCGGGAGGCTCCTTCTCTCCCAGTCCGGGGGCACCTGGACCCGCACCCCGCTAACGGGGCGGTCACCCCACACAGGCTGCCAGCTGAGCACAAGCGCTCGCGCACCCAGACCCTGATTACAGGCGGGTGGATGACACCCCTGGAGCCACAGAGCTCGGTTTCCCCCCCAGCGGCGGGAGAGACTCTCAGCTGCCAGGCAGCGGGGCGGCACGGCCAAATGCCGCGGTGGGGACCCCAGCCCTGACTGCGGGGAGGGCGCAAGCCCAAGCCCACCTCTCGCAGCCCCGTGCCTCTGAAAGGCCGGGGCCACATGCCCGCCTGAGTACAGGGGGTCTCTCTGAACGCAGCTCACCTAGCACTCACGGGGGGCACGCGCAGCCCTGCCTACAGGACGGTACCCCCACACCCCACCCTCCCCAGGAAGCCCCGCGGAGCACGAGGCTCCCGCCAACGCCCGAGTTACAGGCTGGCCCGCCCGGCAGCAGCACAACATCACCAACCTCTTGCCTTTGGGAACCCCGGGAGCAACCTCGACCCACCGAGTGGGGAGGTCACCGCACACACAAGCAGCACCTCAACCTGCACCCTCTGACGGGACAGGGAGGGGTCATTCCCACCAGCTGGATGGCTAGAGCAGCCGGCTGCAATGCCGCAGCCTCCCCGCACCTGATTACAGGGCGGGCGGGAGGGCTGCTCGGGGGACAGAGGGCTCCGCAGCTTGGGACACACGCCCCGACTACGGGGCTGTCACACCGCCAGCGGAGCAGGCGCCCACTAAAGGACTGGCCCAAGCCCTGGCTACAGGGCGGCCTCGGCCACTGAACTACCATGTGGCTCTGATCTAGGCTAAATAATTTAGAGGAAGACAGGACACTCGCTGCGCTCGCGGGACTGAGAGGGAACACCCCTTTTGCGGCGTGCACCACAGTCCTCCATTCCCCCCAGGGAAGTCGAAGCTAAGCTGCAGCCATCTTTGTGGGGGCCTAAAGGGAAAGTTCAGTCGCTCCGTCACTCCACAAACACAAACAAGGAAAGGAAGGGCAACGCGCACACACAGGCGCGACTTTCCAGAAGGGAAGGACAACGCAGCGCAGCCAAACCCTGGGAATAAACCCACAACCGCGGGCAACAGACAAGAGCCTGTGACCTGTCCCTAGCCTGCACGGAGGCCGCAGACCTCAACGTGCCAAGGGGCTTCCCAGCTAAAGCCAAAGGCCAGATGCCGTGACGCGCACCCCGAGTACGGGGCCGTCGCACTGACAGGCCACCACCAGGCAACGATGCCGAGGGGCCGGAGGAGGAAGAGGGGCGGGGAAACGGCACTACCCTGCTTACAGGGCGGCCTCGGGGTCCGGCGAGCTCCGTTTCCCACTCAGGTGCGGAGAGGTGGCTCTCGCCCTGCGTTACAGGGGGCCACGCTCCCCAGGCAGCCAAAGGAGCAGCAAGGCAAAAGCCCAACTACAGCAAAAGCAAAGACCCGAGCCCTGCTTACAGGGAGGTCGCCCAGCACAAAGCCGGCCAAGGCGCCGGCAACTCTCAAACTCAAATGGGACTAAATGGGACTGCGGCCCCGCTAACGGGACGGATGCTTTGCCCAGGGTGCCTCTCTCCTTCCCCCCCGCGTCTGCACGCTTCCGCATCCTCTTCTCGCTTGCATCCTTGCTTGCTTGCTTGCGCGCTCCTGCCTCCCGCGTCCCCACGCCGCTTCTTCTTCTTTCTTCTGCAGCAGCTCCTGAAACATCAGCGGGGACACCGTTACAGCTGCACAGCAGCAAGCCCCCCACCGGAAGGAAAAAAGAAACCAACCCAACATCGCAGAGGAACTCGGCACGCCACCACCCAGCCAAGGAAGGCCTTGCATCCCCCCTCCCCAGTTCATCCCAGCAAAAACTACTTTGAGCAGCTTTCCTCACCTCACTGGCGCACGGCGCGCTTCCAGCCGGTGCTGCGGGGGATCACAGAGGCGGGCAGACTGGGCAAATGGAGCTGGGCACACACGCATGGCAGCGGCCAAAGAGTCAGCTTCCCTGATTACAGGGGACCCCCGCCACTGCCTCCATTGCAAAGGGCCTGGGACTGCGGGGCACTGGCGCTCCCCGGCTTACAGGGCAGCCCCCATCCCTACCGGCCGCGGGAGGCTCCTTCTCTCCCAGTCCGGGGGCACCTGGACCCGCACCCCGCTAACGGGGCGGTCACCCCACACAGGCTGCCAGCTGAGCACAAGCGCTCGCGCACCCAGACCCTGATTACAGGCGGGTGGATGACACCCCTGGAGCCACAGAGCTCGGTTTCCCCCCCAGCGGCGGGAGAGACTCTCAGCTGCCAGGCAGCGGGGCGGCACGGCCAAATGCCGCGGTGGGGACCCCAGCCCTGACTGCGGGGAGGGCGCAAGCCCAAGCCCACCTCTCGCAGCCCCGTGCCTCTGAAAGGCCGGGGCCACATGCCCGCCTGAGTACAGGGGGTCTCTCTGAACGCAGCTCACCTAGCACTCACGGGGGGCACGCGCAGCCCTGCCTACAGGACGGTACCCCCACACCCCACCCTCCCCAGGAAGCCCCGCGGAGCACGAGGCTCCCGCCAACGCCCGAGTTACAGGCTGGCCCGCCCGGCAGCAGCACAACATCACCAACCTCTTGCCTTTGGGAACCCCGGGAGCAACCTCGACCCACCGAGTGGGGAGGTCACCGCACACACAAGCAGCACCTCAACCTGCACCCTCTGACGGGACAGGGAGGGGTCATTCCCACCAGCTGGATGGCTAGAGCAGCCGGCTGCAATGCCGCAGCCTCCCCGCACCTGATTACAGGGCGGGCGGGAGGGCTGCTCGGGGGACAGAGGGCTCCGCAGCTTGGGACACACGCCCCGACTACGGGGCTGTCACACCGCCAGCGGAGCAGGCGCCCACTAAAGGACTGGCCCAAGCCCTGGCTACAGGGCGGCCTCGGCCACTGAACTACCATGTGGCTCTGATCTAGGCTAAATAATTTAGAGGAAGACAGGACACTCGCTGCGCTCGCGGGACTGAGAGGGAACACCCCTTTTGCGGCGTGCACCACAGTCCTCCATTCCCCCCAGGGAAGTCGAAGCTAAGCTGCAGCCATCTTTGTGGGGGCCTAAAGGGAAAGTTCAGTCGCTCCGTCACTCCACAAACACAAACAAGGAAAGGAAGGGCAACGCGCACACACAGGCGCGACTTTCCAGAAGGGAAGGACAACGCAGCGCAGCCAAACCCTGGGAATAAACCCACAACCGCGGGCAACAGACAAGAGCCTGTGACCTGTCCCTAGCCTGCACGGAGGCCGCAGACCTCAACGTGCCAAGGGGCTTCCCAGCTAAAGCCAAAGGCCAGATGCCGTGACGCGCACCCCGAGTACGGGGCCGTCGCACTGACAGGCCACCACCAGGCAACGATGCCGAGGGGCCGGAGGAGGAAGAGGGGCGGGGAAACGGCACTACCCTGCTTACAGGGCGGCCTCGGGGTCCGGCGAGCTCCGTTTCCCACTCAGGTGCGGAGAGGTGGCTCTCGCCCTGCGTTACAGGGGGCCACGCTCCCCAGGCAGCCAAAGGAGCAGCAAGGCAAAAGCCCAACTACAGCAAAAGCAAAGACCCGAGCCCTGCTTACAGGGAGGTCGCCCAGCACAAAGCCGGCCAAGGCGCCGGCAACTCTCAAACTCAAATGGGACTAAATGGGACTGCGGCCCCGCTAACGGGACGGATGCTTTGCCCAGAGTGCCTCTCTCCTTCCCCCCCGCGTCTGCACGCTTCCGCATCCTCTTGCTTGCTCCTGCCTCCTGCAGCAGCTCCTGAAACATCAGCGAGGACACCGTTTGACCTCCAGAGCAGCCAGCTCACCACCGGAAGGAAAAAGGAAACCCAGCATCACAGAAGAACTCATCACGCCACCACCCAGCCAAGGAAGATCCTCCCTCCCTCCACCCTGCCCCCTCTGGCACCAGCTGTTCATTCCAAAAAGGCTTGTTAGAGTAGCTTTTCTCACCTCACTGAAGCACAGTGCGCTTCCAGCCGGTGCTGCCGGGGATCGCAGAGTTGGGCAGACTGGCCAAGTTTATCTGGCAATACAAATTCCAGCAGCCATCGAGTCAGCTGCCCTGCTTACAGCAGACCCCCAGTCTCTAACTTTATTGGAAATACAACAGCTTTTATTATATTAATTGGTCTGCGTAAATGCAACCACTGTGCCATCTTGGCACTTCTGAATTGTCAATCTTTTCCATCTGTTCAGGAGGTTCTTTGGCCTCGTGTCTCTCCTCTTCTGCTTCATTTGAGATTCCTGCTGCTATAAATTCATCTCATTTCTCATTCACCAGTTCATAGCCATTAGTGGTGTGAAGTTACAAGGGAATTTTCAGCTTATTACATGTACTGCCATGGATTATCTTAAAGTAGAATACAAAATATGGCGCTGAAGGCTAAATTTTTCTCTTAGCATCCACCTGATTTGCTGCTGTAGAGCTTCTTTAACTCACTTATATTATTAAACACCACAACACCGCTTTACTCCTTCCCCTTCTCATCAGGAATGCACTTCTCGTGTCCTCCCCCATTTCCACCACGCCATTACAAAGCAGAGAGTAAAAGCCGCGCGCTTCAACACTATACGCGATAGCACTCATTGTTTTATTATTGCTGCTCGCCGCTGCCTCGGTGCGTCTCCTTCCACGTGGCAACTCGCCCCGCTCGTCGCGCCCGCGCCCCTCCTCTGAGAGCGCGCTCAGAGCTGCCTGCACTCGGTGCCGGCTGGAGAGCCCGACTCTGTCCGCCCACCAGCGGAGCGTAAGACGCGGCTCCAGCCCCGGCTCCCTCCCGCCACCGGAGCCCACAGGCGACTCCAGCCCGCCATCGATGCCCACACGGCGGTCCCGGCTTCGGTTGCCATCCGTCGGACCCTGCGCGGTGCAGCGGCGGCGTCCCCCACCCCGCCTCGACCCGGCCCCCGCCTCGACCCGGCCCCCGCCTCGACCCGGCCCCCGCCTCGACCCGGCCCCCGCCTCGACCCGGCCCCCGCCTCGACCCGGCCCCCGCCTCGACCCGGCCCCCGCCTCGACCCGGCCCCCGCCTCGACCCGGCCCCCGCCTCGACCCGGCCCCCGCCTCGACCCGGCCCCCGCCTCGACCCGGCCCCCGCCGCACCCCGCGCCGCCCCGCTCCGCCTTGCCTCGGATCCGCCGTACCCTGGCCCCGCCGCTCCTCAACTCTGGAGACCGCTTGCCTTCGTCGCCGCCTTTCCCTCACGGCACGCCCCTTCTTCTCACGCGCTGTGGAGAACGTCTCACTCACCTGCCCGCGCGCGCACCTTTTATAGCTGTCCCTTCAGCCCGCCAGCCAATAGGAGCCCTGAACGCCGCTGTCGCTTCCCGCGCTTTTCTTCCTGCCGCTCTCTCTCCATCCCCCTCGACGTTCCCGCCCTTTCTTCCTAACGGCTGCCGCCCCGGGTCACCTGAACGTCACGGCCCCGCTCACAGGTGTCGCCGCCCGGCCCCTCAGGGCGGTGCCGCCCCACAAGTGATCTCAGCTCACAGCCCGGCACCTGGCAGAGCTGGCTGTGCAACTCGTGCCTTCCATTTCAGCGTTGCTTTTAACAGTCATTTACACATTAGGCTGTCCTTCCTGACTTACAGATCCCCACCAACTTCATTTAAAATTACTTTTATATCTTTTTAAGGAATTCTTCCCTGTCACCTCTCCCATCTGCCCCTACAGCACAAACCCCTCCTGAGCTCCAAAATGTGTTTACCAAGGGAAACAAGGCAGCAGCTGTTTGCAGGATGCCATTGATGTGTCAGCTCAGGACGTTCTCTCTTTGCAGAGCTGCTTCTATTTTGTACCTCATTCACACACCGGGGCTGAAATGCTCACCTGATGGCTGCGCTCTGCAGCCTTTGCTCAGCTCCCTTCCTTCTGCCCCCAGCTGCGTGCTTTCTCACTGTAGCAGTGCTACAAACAAGGACTATGGAAGAGACCAACAGTGGATACAGAGTATACGTGGCCCCCACTGAAGCCGAAACAGCGTGTAGCAGCAGCAGCAATGCCTCAGCTGGGAGCCACGTACATAACAGCTGAACTTTCTGTGCATTTGTACAATTAGTGGTAAAGGAAGGCTTGCGCCAGAGAGCATTTCAGCAGAGCAACATCACTGTGCATAAACAAACACTGAAGACGTTCACTTTTCCTCTTCCCTGCTTACTGCCATTGAGATAATTTCTGGAGGGCAGTCTTGCAAAGTAAAAAGCTGAGTAAAGGAAGCATTCAGTCCTCAGCCCGTTCGCTGTTCTGCATCACAAGGGTCCCATGGTCCCGTATCAATTAGTAACAGAGCCACATTTCACTCGGTCTTCCTGTAGGGTCCCTTTCTGGGTCACAGCTTCTTCCCTGACAGGGACACCTGCTCAACAACAAGCATGAGCTGCAGCAGAAACTGCTGCATCTGTCTGGAGCTGCACTGCATGCTGTGTTTATGTACAGGCCTCTCTCTAGGGCCAAATGAGAGGCTGCTTAACCCTTCTAAATAAGGGTCAAGCTGTACTGAAGGCTGCAAGCACCCTGGGGTCAATGGCAGCTAACCAAACTGTTAGAAGCCTCTGGTGATTCCCTTAGCCCAAAAGCCTTTTTGGTTCCCCCTTACCTTGATCTTATCTAGCATTAAGGCCAAAAATCACAGAAACTTCCTTGACAATTTATCCCACAGCTTACCTGTTTACAGAAAAAAGAAAATGTTTTCTAAGTGCCATTTAAAAGTATAGGCTGTATATAAGGGTCCTCACCCTATGCGAACTGTTTTTCTTCCTTTAAGCAGAATGTATCTTTATAGCACAGAGCTTGATTTCAGAAGCGGTAATTATTACAAACCCACTGGAATCTGCAGTGCAAAAGCAATGTACAAATCCATACAGACAAACCAAAGTTGCAGAGTAGCAGGTGTTCCCTAAATGGTGGCACGATTACCTCCCAAGAGGCAGAAACACATGCAGAAAAATCTCCGGATTTGGCGCCTACAAAACTGTAACAAGTTTTGTTAAACAGTGCTATCCAACTGAAGACAAAGGATGTTACGCATTTCTAAAGCTTAGCACATGGCCATTCTGATATTATTTTCAAAACAATGTCGTGTGAATACATCAGCATCCTTTATGCTCAGTGAGCACCACCCTCCTGTCTTTTACCTGCAAACTGCAACATTGGGCACATTGTCACTGACAGTATCAATTCTCTTTAGAGGACAATTTAAAAAAAAAAAAAAAACAACAAAAAAACCCACAATATCCACTGGAGTGGCATGAAATTCAAAAGCCTTTTGGGTTTTTCTGTACTGGCTGGCACGCGTAGGGAAAGATGTTAAAATGTAACTCCTGTTGTCCGCAGGAGATGTTAAACACTATCAAGGTACAAAGTAACAGCCCGCTAGTTGAATAGGAGAAGGTAAGGTAACACCCAGACCCAGGCCAGCACAGCTGGGCTCTGGTTAGGCACTGAGAGAAAGTTCAGACAACTTTTATGCATGCTTCTGGTATTCAAATTAACTGCCATTGCTAGTTTGGGGGCAAGCACTCCAAAATGCATATACAGAGGAACGAATTCTAGTACAGTATCATGACAAGTTTATTTCAATATTTTAGTACAGTTCTTTACATAAATATAAATGATTCCGTTCTTAAAATGGATCTTGTTAGCACCAGCAGGTTATCCAGCAAGGTCTGCTCCCACTCTGCAAGAATATATAATACTCAAGACCGTTCAGGTCTTTAACAGTCACGTACGTTAGATCAACTTCTGCCCAAAGACTTTCAGAATATGTTGCTGCCTTAATCAGTAACCTAGCTCTTAAAGGTTGGGTTGGACATATTCTGGTACTATTCATTGCCTATGTACCACAGAAAGACTCACTGTGAGGGGCATGCCCCAGCCTTATTTCCACTTCAAAGCAGAGAAACAGTTCTCAGAGCTGTAGTATCAGTAGCTCACTCCAGTGGCACCTACTTGAGCTCAGGTAGAAGAGTTTTACAGAAAAGTCACAATAAAAGACTGTACCCTTTTCATCTATAGTTTGACACCGAAGAACAACAATGATTTCTCCTTCTAGTGTCACCCTATCAGTCTTCCTATTTGTTTCTTGCTCTTCTCTAGAGACCTGAACTCTGGAAAAGTAGAGAAATGGAACCAATAGAACATAGCTGTTATTCTGGAGGATGATTATCTATGCTAATTACTCCATAAGAACTATTATTGGGAAGACAAGTGCATAGATTGCCAGGGGAATCATTTGAGTTGGAAGGGACCTTCCAAGCTCCCCTGCAATGAACAGGGATACCCCCAGCTAGGTTAGGTTGCTCAGATCCCAGTTCAGCCTGACCTTAAAAGTCTCCAGGAATGGGGCGCATCCACCACTTCTGTGGACAACCTGTTCCAGTGCCTCACTGCCCTTATTTTAAAACACCTTTTTCTCACATCCCATCTACATCCATCTGTTAGGTTGAAACTATTTCCCTTTCTCCTATCACAACAGACCCTGCCAAAGAGTCTGTCCCCTTATTTCCCATTGCCCCGCTTCTGATACTGAAAGGCTGCCATCAGGTCACCTCAGAACTTTCTCTTTTCCAGGCTTAAACCACCCCAGCTCTCTCAGCCTGTCCTTGCAGTAGAGGTGTTCCATCCCTCGGATTGCTTCTGTGGCCCTTCTCTGGATGTGCTTCAACAGGTTCGTGTCTCTCCTGCACCGAGGATTCCACATGTGGATGCAGGACTCCAAGTGAGATCTCACCAGCGCAGAGGGGCAGGACCACCTCCCTTTCCCTGCTGGCCACGATTCTTTGGATGCAGCCCAGGATACAGCTGGCTTTCTGGGCTGTGAGGCACACTGCTGGCTCACATTCAGCTTGCTGTACAGCAGTACCTCCAAATCCTTTTCACGGGGCTGTGCACAATCCTTTCGTCCCCTGGCACGTAATGATAGCAAGAGTTAGCACAACCACGCTGCAAAACCTTGCACTTGACTTGGCTGAACCTCACGAGGTTCACCCAGTCCTGCTCCTCAAGCTGTTTGTGCCCTGAAATAGAGTAGCTGGGTTACTCACCCTTAAACAGGCTTTCAGTAAATACAAAATGTCACAAGACATCTGTGCTTCTCCTCAGACCGCTTAAATTACAGGCATCTCTAAACCACAGTGCTATTGTCTGCTGTGCAACACAAGTACATCTTCAGATGAACCTTCGGGGAATGGTGAAGTCAGTTGCTAAAGATAGGATGTATTCCCTTAGGCATAACAAAGAGCAATTCTGAAAAATGATATAATCCTTCTAGACCTCTTCTTAGTCCCTTTCCTGTGAACTGTCTGGCTTGCAAGACTCAAGAAACGAGGGCAATGTAATCAGGCTTCTTAAATTTTGCAGTGGGATTTCCCATTGGAATCCATAGAGTTCAAAGGGTCTGTCTTAAGACAACTCAAACGTTTGGTAGGAACAGTTGGCTGATGTTTTTCTGACATGCAGAGTCGAAAGTCAGAGTTGCAGTTCCTTTCTTCTTACAGCTAAATGAATAATAGCAAGTAAACGACAAACTGAAGTGCTTAGCTATCGTTGCCCATAAGATGATCACAGGTTGAGGCAGAAGGTCACTTTCACCTGATAGTTCCCAAGACCCTGGCGACAGTTCTATCTTCGATACTTGTAAGAAAGAATAACGTCCAGTGATTATGGCACCACTGATTAGTTTCAGAGCTCCAGCAATGTCCTTTGGGCAATGCCTGTCTTCAATTGTACAGGTGTTTTCTTGTTGTTGCTGCTTGGTTTTGTTTGGTTGTTTTTCAGTTCTGCAAGGCATTACAGTCAGAAAATACAAATGCAACATTTATTACTATCATTTTACTCCAAACTCAACTGATTCGTGCTCTGACGAGACCCCGCGAGTTTGTCTTCTAGTTTAAAGCTCACCCTAGAGGAATCCAATTCCAGTCGTACTGAGCAAAGCACAATAACTAGGATAAATCAAGTCGTATTCTGCCTGCTTTTTTCCCCTCTCCAGCAATAAAGCTACTCCAAGGTTTAAATACAAGCAAACGTTAAGCAGTCTCTACAGATGTTAATTCTCTCACGTCTGACTGTTAACGCTCATGCAACTTATAGTTTTCAGGATCTGCAAACAGCGTGTAAATAATAAAAACCAAAGAGATTTTTTTAAGCCTAAAGGACTTCATGATGTAATCATAGTGACTGAATAAATTATCCACATGCACCATCACAGCAGTAACTCATCGGTTGCATTTCAAGAGCATAGCAGGGCACTGAGCCACATTGCAGACAATAAAGCTTCCTGAGAATTCTGTGGCAGACCACTAAATTGTAAGCAACCTGTACAAAACAAATACACTCTCTTAACAGCACTGCTTTAGGGGCATTCCTCTCTGAGGAGATCTGAATGGTCCTTAGGACAAAAGTTGCTGTAAGGATGTATCCAGCATACTGCATGTATTCAAAACATAGATGCTGTGTCTTTAATGTCACTTGTGCACTGACCTGAGACCATATTGAGATTAATTGCTGAATTTACTTACGCAACTGCTAAATTTATTTATGCAATAAATTGATAAGAAGTCCAGCAGGTCCCAGCCAGCTTACAGTCCTATCAAAAAAACACAGAAAGAGGAGACCATCACCATACAGAGATCCTTTGTACTACTACGTGGTCCTCTGCTTAGCATTCAAAGCCGCATTTGTCAAGACAAATGCCACGTGGTCCAGCACATCTCAGTCTTACACATTTGAATAATGGCAATTTCTGCACTGCCTCAGCAAGCAGTGCTGTGTGCCACTGATGGAATCCACGACGTGCCAGTTCCCAACCAATTAACTAGCTTGTAATGACAAATTAGTCGCTAAGGACTGCAATGCAGAGAAGTCTAAGCTTCAGCAATAATACTTCAACAGCAGTAAGCAGATATTGTGAAACAGCCCTATGTCAGAATTCACACAGACAGATTTTCTTCAAGCTGATATTGATTGATTACAAGTATAGCAGTCTGTTGAAGATTATTCAAACTCAGGAAGACTTCATTAACAGAGGCTTACAGAAAAATAACAGATACTTAGGTTCTACTGCAAAATCCAAAATGATCTCAATTTGGTCTCAGAAACTTCAAACACGCCCTGGGAAGAAGCCTTACACCATATGCAATCCACATATCACTGCCTCACCTGATGCCTATGATCACAGAACTGTAGAGGTTGGAAGGGACCCCTAGAGATTGCTTCCAACCCCACTGCCAAAGCAGGATTCCTCCAGCAGGCTGCACAGCTA